CTTACTGGGCACACAGACGCTACTTGGGCAGAGGACGCTGAGACCCTCAGGTCCTCCCAGGGCTACTGCTTTAGCCTTGGTTCAGGTGCCATCTCGTGGAGGTCCACTCGCTCCTCGTCTGTTGCCCAGTCCAGCTGTGAGGTTGAAATCTACGCGGTGCCATGGCGGCACTGGAGCTCCGCTGGCTGACCTTCTTGCTCACCGACTTAGGTGAGCGGCCTAGCTCTGCCCTGGTTCTTTACGCTGACAACAGGGCCATGATCCTCCAGTGTCAGGAGCCTCGACTTGAGGGCAGATCGAAGCATTTCCAGCTACGGCACTTCCTCCTGCGCGAGCTACAGCAGTGTCGCTAGGCCCGCGTAGTACACTTGGCCTCCGGTGCCAACATAGCTGATATCTTTACGAAGGTGATTGCGCCTCGAGTTCATCAGCGGCACTGTTTGCAGCTTGGTCTAATTCCTGTAGACTCGCACTTGCTAGGACCTTGATTATGTACTCCTCTTTATATATATCTTTCAGACTGGCCTTGTGGCTTCTCTTCCAGTGGCCGAAGTAGTAGTGTCGCCCTGGTTTGCTCATGTCTTGTTTGTGCTCTTGCTGACTGGTCTTCGGACCGCTGCCTCAGAGGTTGGACTAATAGTGTTACCCTAAGCTGTGTGCTTCTTGCTCGACACTGCCCCTTATCTAGCCTAGGGGGTGTGTCAACTTATACATACATTTGCGTGTAGAAGTTATACGCTAGAATAGGTGTGTGTTCTTAGCGAGTACAACTCAAACCCTATATCTTTCTTGTTCTCTCTTCGTTCTAATCATTCTAGTATTCTAACAGTATTCGTTTGAAGGGTAGTTTATAAACATTTTGCATCTGAGTTTGTATTAGAGCTACCATATGCGACTTTTCGTTGCTTTTTATTCTCGTGATGTGAAATATTGTTTTGTTTTCTGTCTCATGGCAAAAAATGTGACACGTGTCCAAACGGGAATATTGAGATAATGCGGAGTTTTCGGGCAAGGATGAAAAAAAACAATATTACCCATAGCGGCCTGCATTAACCCCAAACTCGCTAAAGGGCCGCGAATTCAAGGTTTACCCATCCCTGAATGGCAAGCAGACCCCTATGGCTTTTATTTTTGTCTTTGCCTGTTAAAGCCCGCGATCCAAATTGCGAGGCGTTCGAAAGTTGCGCTTTCGTGGGTGTATTCGGGGTAACGAGACTCTCGTCACTCAGGGGTGCGTTTCAAGTTCAGCGCGGAAGGTAACTTGGAACACCAGGTGCCGAGCGTTTTTCAACCGTCTAGTTTTTCTAGATTTTCATCTGACGACGCATGAGCCAAGCACTCCCCCCAGTCAGTCGAAAGGTAATCATCCGTCAAATTGTGTGTTTGTAAATCTGACGGTTCACGACAAGCGTTGAATTTGCGAGAGTAAACGTACTTGCGATTTTCCAGCATATTTCGTACAGCCTGAGGGTCAAACTTCATACGTAGTGCGTTTGAACAATTTGGGCTGCGGGTTTTAAAGCCACAGGCTAAAATAGCATAGGGGGGGCTTCAAGAGCGCCGTTCTTGAAGATGGTTCTTTTGAAAAAAAACGGGTTCCTAGTACGATTTTGCGAGGTGCGTTTTTGGGCAGCTGAACAATGATACAAACGCAGTGGTGCCAATTGGACGCGTGTGGGACGAGGCGGGTAACGCGTGCGCGATTCATTTGACTTTTCGCCAGCTTGGTGAAACGAAAAAAACATACTGTACCTCGGAAATATTCGGCGTTCGTGTTCAAGCTTCACATTACGAGGCACCCTCGACCGCGACTTGCGACTAGGGCAAAGGTGAACTGTGCAACTTGTGAGCCGAACAGCCACATGGGTTGCGCGAAATGCGACCTTGTTGAACCTCGGGTTAAAAACCTATTGCACACCCATGGAGCTCTTGAAAAAACTGAGCTGTGTGAGCGGTCAGTCGCAACTTCATCCGCCGAGCATCTGACGCCAAATCAATCGTCGCGCACCAATAACGTAGCAAAGCTACTTCGCATTACAGACAATTTCGGGTCCCATACCATTTCGGAAATAGAAAACGCACCAAAGGGTCTGCCCTTAAACGAAACATTTTTTCAAGAGCTCCTGAGGTGTGCTATTCTAGTCTGTGGTTTTAAGATGCTAAAGCTTCTTCTGCTATGAAATGGACACGTGTCGCAAATATTTGTCCCGAGACATGAAACTAAACAATAGTTCAGAAACAACAGAAAGTCACATGAGGTAGCCCTAATCTAGACTGAGATGCGAGTTGTCCTGATAGTACACCTGTTCCCCCTTTTTGTTCCACCCGGAATAGTCTAGATTGCAATCCCACCTACCATAACCAGGCCTGTCGCTATCAGGGTATTTTATCCTGATTCTCTGATTTTACGGGGTATTTTTTCAGCCAACCCTTAATTTTCAGGCTTGGGCTTTTTTGAACCCTAACCTCTTTAGGGTTGTATGTCTGTGAACACTTATAATTTCAGGGTTTGCGTTATCCCAACACTGAGTTTTCAGGGAGTAACGCGTACGAACCCTGAATGCGACATCCATGTAGCTCACAATGCGGAAATTTAGTCGAAGTCCCCAATCTCCAAAGACATTCCCCCCCACACACAACAACCTACAAAAATTGGTGAAGTCCTCAAACATTCCCTCACACAGCAAGCAACCCACAAAAATCGGTTAAGTCATGTGTCGTACAGACATCCCCCCTACACACCTAACAACAACCCACAAAAATTAGCTAAGTCTTGATAGGCAGTGACAGCACACAAAAAAAACGGCTTAGTCCTATTGTACACAAGTTATCCCCCCTCCCACACTCCCACAACCAGGGCTCGCCACCCCCCTACCAGCAACCCTGTCAACCCTTGTTTTGCGTTGTTAAATCTGGGAAACGGGGAAGCCATTCCTAAAAATCGAGGGGGTAAAATCGCACTGCCACGGAAATCGAAACTGAGGGGAGGGGGAATCGAAACCGACGGGGAAATGGGGAGGGAATCAAAATGGGGGGGAAGGGGGAAGCGAAACGGAGGGGAGAGGGGGGGAACGTGGGGGGAGGGGTCGAAACAGAGAGGATGGGGGAAGCGAACGGAGGGGAAGGGGGAAGTGATCGAAACGGAGGGGAGGGGGGAATCGAAAATGGAGGGGAAGGGGGGAATCGAAATGGCAGGAAGGGGGGAAGCTGGGGCATAAGGCGGTGGGAGAAATTTCGCGCCCTTGCAGCGCCCCGGTTGGGAAATCCTGGACGTTAATCACTACCTACCATCGAACGATTGAAATTTGTCGAAACGATCGCAAACGATCGTGACCGTTACATTTTGTTAGACTTTCAGTTGACCAAATGGGCAACTGGCGAGAATTTCCCTATGTTTAAAATGCGGAATTTACTCTCATTCCAATGCAGTAAAAAAAATGTGAAAGTCTCATTCAAAACTTTGACGTGTGTTCCAGGTGTTTTTTTATTGCCCTATGTTTCCATCCTCCCCCTTCCCCTCCGTTTCGCTCTTCCCCTCCCCTCGGCTTGATTCCCTCCCCTTTTTCCCCCCATTTTTTATTCCCCCCTCGTGTTGAAAACAACCCTGAACGCGTTCGTTGCTCAGCAATGCAACCCTGTTTGTGGCTAGCCAACCCTGGAGGTTTCAGGGTTGTAAGTTCCAGAACACTGAGAAATCAGGAAAGCTAAAATTCCAACACAAGGCCCTCAGGGTAAAAAACATAAATCCATTCGACAGCTCAGGGTGCTTTTTTTTTAAACGACAGCCCTGACCATAACTCGCGTTGACACTGAACTTGATTGGCTGCAGTTCGAACGATATCGAAAAGTCACATCGTATTTCGACAACGACAAGAATCTGAGCTGAGAGGTCGCGCGTGCAAAGTATCTAGTTCATGAGCGAGAATTTGTAACCAAGTGGCAGGGTTTACTGCGGGTTTTCCCCTTCAATGTACCGTTTGCCCGTGTTTGACTGTTTCCTGTTTACAGGCTCAAGCCGCTTGCAAAAAACCGTGAAAAGCAATAGAAAAAATGGTGTACTCATCCAGCGGATACGTACCCAAGAAAGAACCAACCACTGTCAGGATAGATATGGTTGATTGACACACCTGCAGGCTTGGGATTATTGAGGGGGAGAGGGGGGGGGGGGAGGGTCCTGTCAAAAACCCAAGTGTGAACCTCTATAACGTTCGAAAAGGTAGCACACCGGTCTGAAATGCTCCATCAGGTCATACGCCCTTGTGGTTGCTCCCATGGGTCTTTCCCGGCCTCAGACAAATGATCTCGAGGGGACGGTGACGTGGCGATGGCGTGATGGCCTCCGCAGGTCTGCCTTGGCTCCGCTTGTGTGTAAGCCTGGTTTGAGTTCTGTTCCGTCCGTTCTGTTTATCGCGCTTCGTCAAGCAAGTCAGAGCCAGCCAGAATCCGTCAGTGGATACAAACAGCCACCTTTCGGCTGAAACATTCGTCGTCTAACCTGTCGCAAATAGAAAACCAGCGAATCGTTGTTTCGCGAGTTGTCGAGCCCTCGACGACAGCCACGCGACGTCTCCTCCATCACGAGCTGTCGTTTGTCTGTCGCCCGTCATCATCCATGTGCTATAGAGGAAGCTACCCGCAACAGCAAGTACAGTGCACCACACCACTTCAGCAGCAACCAGCAGGCTCTGTTCACCTCCCTCAACTTTCGCGGTTTGCCAACCACCAAGGCAGTGCCGTGCCTTGCAACTCGGCTCGGCATGACCAAACCACCACCCAAAACCATTGCAGACCAAACCGGAGCAAAACCAAGCCACGGGCAAGCCACCTAAGCAACCAGCAGAGACTTGTTACACCGTCCTCGCCTCTCTATCTCCCCTCTCCTCTCTCCTCCCTCTCGACTCCCTCCTCTCCCTCTCCTCTCTCTCCTCTCTCTCCTCCCTCTCTTCCCCCGCCATGCACTTGACTTTTCCCGATCTGCTGCTCTCGCTCTCCCTTCATCTAAGCCACCAGCTTCCACTCTGTTAGCTCATTTCCTAGCTTCCGTTTCCAGTAGTCCCCTCTAGCAGTCTACTTTCATCAACGGTCCTTGTAGTGTATGCTTTCAAGTCTTATACCTCACGCCTGACTCAGGCGATCTTAACGATCAGGGTAGCAGTCTCAGTACTTCTCGATCCTTTCTCAGACCTCCCTCAAACCTGACGCGTACATCTTCTAAGCGACAACAGCCAGCCCACCACAGCGACTACACCCACCCCACAGCGACATGGCCCCTGCAGTCGCCGGCGGCGCGAGGGCCAAGAGACGGCAGGCCGCCGGAGCCGCTCCAGTGGTAGCCTCAGAAGCGACGACGACGACGGCAGTGGCGGTGTCGGCGACGCCGATGCCGCTGTCGCAATTGTCGGGCAACGTCGCTATTGACACGCGAGACGGCCACATGGTGCGTTGCGAAGCGTCGCTGTAGTTGGTCCCCCCCGGAGCTACTCGTGGACTACGGTCTACTCGTTTGCGTCAGTTGGCTAGTCTTTTTTCACTGGACGTCCAGACGTTATCGGGTCTCTTCTTAAAACGCCACTATTCTTATTTCCTCTCGGCTCTTCTACGGGGGGTTCGAAGTCATGAGCCGGGCTTTGTTACCGGCTGATTTCCGCTGTATTTCGTTCTAGCGCTCTCTCGTGTAGTCTCAGCTTCCTCTGTCTTTCCCTCCGTCGTTCTAATCGGCCCCTCGTTTCTTTTCGATCGGACGGTGAGCAAGGAAGGGCCTTTTTCCCGAATATCGATGCGTCTTCTTCCCTCCTCACATCCGTCCGATGCTGCCGTTTCTTGTGATTGTCGGCCATCGTATTGTGTTATTGTTTCACGGCCCAAGCTCCCGTCCGATCTGCCATAACCGTCAACCTGGGCTATTATCCGCCGACTCCAACGTCTCTTTCTGCGTGTCTGTTGTCGTCACCCTGGCAGGTACAGCAGCCGTCGCAAGTGTCGGTGGATTTGAGCAAGCTGCACACGTCGGCACTGAAGAGATACCGCCGGCACTTCAAACTGGTAAGGATTAAAGAGCAAGAATTCAGATCGGCGATAAGGGCTAGAGACAGAGGGCAATATAAGTTTTTTTTCTTTGCGAACGGTGAACACGCTATGGATCCAGTCCTGACGGCTATGGGCCTCGCGCTATCTTCGGCGTGCCCTCGGCCTGTCCTGGGCGTTGTCTTGGGCGTGCGGGGTCATCACCTTGCGACGCCTGGTCTGACGCGGTTGAGTATTGTGTAACTTCCGTCCTGGTCGTGGCTTGGCTCTCCGCTTTTAAAGGCTCGAAAGAGCCTGATGGTATCTCACGATCTTGCTGTGCGTTGAAAGTTCTTCCGATTTTGATTGTTGGACCATGCTGAGCTTTTTTTTGTCCCCCTTCGTGCGCGTCTGACTCTCCTCCCAGGCGGAGGTGGGCCCCAACTCGTCCAAGGAGCAGCTGCTGTCGGCCGTGGGGCGGCACTTCATGGCGCAGGTGAGGGGTGTGGGCGGCAATGGCCTGTCTGGACAGCAATGGTCTTGGCAAGATTGCTTCTATTTGTCGAGTTTGGTTCCGTGTGGGTTAGTAACGAAGAAGTGTGCAACTGAGCTGAACAACAGTGGCATCGTTGCACACAATATGGCTGTCAGCGCTCATCAGTGTATCTCTTCCCTCCGCCTCTGTCCTCTTCTTCCTCGTCTTGTGCCCTGCCAGCAATTGGACGAGCTTCAGGTGCTCGCAGGCTTCTTGCAGGCGGCCAAGCGGCTCAAGGTGGCACACTGACTGGTGGAGAGAGAAGCGAAGACTTTGAGATGCGGGTGTCAGTCATTCCCCGACATTCACTCGTGGATGCCTGCTCGTGCAGCAGTTGCCCCACACAATTTAGGTTGAATTCTACAACGGGCAGATGGGTTGTTGGGGATGAGGGTTGCAGCAGTCAGGCATTAGGGAATGCTGTCTGCTTAGAGGGCTAGGAAAAGGCATGGGCAATTATTGCGGACAGCACGGGGCATCAGCAAAGGCTGGTGCTCCGATGCTCCTTGGTATGCCCTGGACACATGTATGCATGCATGGGGCATGCATGTGTCGAGGTATACACACACACGCACACACATGCGCATGCACCCTGAAGTCTCTCAGGCATCCTCTTGATGCTTCCGGAAGACTAAGTGATGTTGCTGGACATGACTTTGTTTTTGTTCAAGAAAGGGGATGTTCTTGATGTAAGGTCTGAAGTGCTGATTGCGGAAATGTCTGATTTTGCAACTGTGTAACACTTTCTAAACATGTGTATTGTGAGTGTTGCGAGGGCCAACGCAGCAAAGGCAGCATTGAAGCGCTACTCACCCTCTTCTGAGTGTCAAACATATCTTAGTAAGTTAAAATAGACAATATAGGGTTGTGCCTTAGAGGGTATATTGTGCCTTAGAGAAGAAAACTGAAGTGTTTCATAGAGAGAGAACAAGGGAATACACCTAAGAGTGTTGTACCCTCTAAGATGTGACCCTATACAGTCTATACAAATATGAGTTATATATATATTTGACACACCCCCTAGACTGCATAGGGGCAAATCCTGAACAAGCAGCTCAGGGCGGCACTACTAGTCCAGCCACTGAGACATGGGTCTAAAGACCAGTCAAAAGGAGTACAGGCTGTCAAACATGTATTTCTCTAATGTTTGTATAGACTGTATAGGGTCGCCTCTTAGAGGGTAAAACACTTAGGTATATTCACCTGTACCCTCCTATGCTATTCATTCAGTTTTCTCACTGTGATATGGTATCACGCGTAGGTTAGGATCCCCCACCTACCGCTTCCGCTCCTACCCTCACTAGGCCCCGTCGCGCCTCCTAGCCCAGCCGCGCCCCTCCTGGGCCCTATCGCGCTTCCTAGCCCAGCCGCGCCCCTCCTGGGCCCTTCGTGCCTCCTAGCCCAGTCGCGCCCCTTCCTGGGCCCCGTCGCGCCTCCTAGCCCAGTCGCGCCCCTCCTGGGCCCTATCTCGCCTCCTAGCCCCGGCGCGCCCCCCTCCATAGTGTGTCAACTTATACATCTGTTGCTATGTAGAAGTTATAGGCTAGATAGGAGTATGTTCTTAGTGGGTACAACCCGAACACTACATCTCCTTGGTTCTCACTTGTATGCCATCATTCTTTCATCTTAACATGGTATCATGAGTAGGTAGGTCCACCCACCCGCTTCCGCCCCGCGCCCTAGCCTACCGTGCCTCGCTAGCCCCTCGCGCCCTAGCCGCCCCTCGCGCCCTCGCTAGCCCCTCGCGCCGTCGATGGCCCCTCGCGCTCTAGCCGGCCCCTCGTGCCCTAGCGGGCCCCTCGCGCCCTCGCCAGCCCCTCGCGCCATCGCTGGTCCCTCGCGCCCTAGCCAGCCCCTCGCGCCCTAGCGGGACCCTCGCACCCCTTGCGCCCCCGTCGGCCCCGTGCGCCCTAGCTGGCCCCTTGCGCCGCAACGGGCCCCTCGCACCCTCGTCGGCAGCGCCAGCTCGCCAGCTACTAGCCGCCAGCTGCTAGCCGCCAGCTACTAGCCGCCAGCTCGCCAGCTGCTAGCCGCCAGCGCCCGCCCGCCGCTTACCCGCACTAGTCAGCTGCGCCAACTGACTCCACTGCCCGCCAGCTGCCACTGCCAGCGGCGCCTCTCCACTGCAGCCACTGCCTCTGCCACTGCTGCAGCTTGCTCTGCCGCTTGCTCTGCCGCCGCAGCCACTTGCACCGCCGCGGCGGCCACTGTTGCAGCTGCTGTTGCCATTGCCGCTGCAGCCGCTTTAGCTGCCACTGCTACCACTGCCACAGCCACCACTGCTGCTGCCGCCGCTTCCCTTGCAGACGCCACTGCAGCCGCTGCCCTTGCAGCTGCTACTACCGCTGCTGCCCTTGCAGCTACCACGCTGCCCCCTGCAGCTGCCCATGCTGCTGCAGCCCACACTGCCACTGCAGCCGCTGCTGCCACCACTGCCGCGGTTCGCTCGTACCCACATAGCCACCTCCGCTAGCCAGCTCACTGCTGGCCTGCTGCCATCCTCACCTCGCTGCTAGCTAGCCGCCCTCACTGCCACCGGCTCCTGTAGCAGCCGCCCCAGCTCTTTCCTGCTTCTGCCGCCACTGTCTTTCCGGCCGCAGCTGCCAGCATGGCGTCGCCCGGCGTCTTCGTTCTGCGCCTGGATGGGGAGGGGCGGGCAGTCGGTTTCGCCGCCTGGCAGGAGGCAGTTCTCCTTCAGCTCACAAGTCAGCGCGTCGACAACGAGTCTTTGGACGCCCACGTCTCTGGTGAGCTCCCCATTATCCCTCGCCCAGGCGCTCCTGCTCATGATGCGACGTCTGAGCAGCAGGCTGTGCACGCTGCTACTCGTACTTCCTACTCTATCTGGGCATCTTGCGATGCCACTGCTCGAGTCGCCATCCTCAGGTGCCTACCGGTTGCCGAGCACTCCCACTTTGTGGGTGCTGCGTCAGCCCACGCTCTCTGGCCGGCTATCCTAGCTAGGTACTCCACCCCGTCTTCTACCACTCTTGGTCGCCTCCTCCTCCCTTTCTTCCACCCTGACCTGACGTCGTTCACCACTGTAGCAGACTTAGTCGAGAACCTACGTTCTCTCGCGCCTCGCTGGCGTGCGGCCTGTACTGAGGCCCAGCTAGCGCTCGCCCCGCCCCCCCTCTTCTCCACCTCCCTGATTGAGATAGAGGACCGCCTCCGCGCTATCGCCGGTTCCATTAGCACGCCGGCGGTCCCTATCTTTCAGGGCAGCGCTCCCTCCCCAGTGACAGTCCATGCCTCCGCCTCTGTAGTTGAGACAGCAGCGGCTACCTCTGCCCCCGGCCGCTCATCTGACGGCAAGGGCAAGGGCAAAGGGGGCAAGGGTCGTGGGGGGTCGACAGCAGCGGGTGGAGGGGGTGAGGGTGCGGACGGAGAGGGTGGTCAGTCGGAGTCAGGGACTGCACAGCAGCAGCAGCAGCAGCAGCAGCAGCAGCGCCGCAGCAGTCTTGGGGGCCGGCGGGCCCTGGGGGTGGTAGTCGTGGTGGAGGCCATGGGGGTTGGGGCTCAGGGCTGTCGGTGCCCTGGGGTTCGCATGGCTCTTCTGTGAGTCAGGGTGCTGGTGGTTCTGGTAGCGTGGTAACCTGTACGTACCAGCTGCTGACTGGCCCACAAACAAGCCAGGTGTGCGGGCGCGTGGGGCACACCGCCGCTCGCTGCTTCCGCCGCCTGGACGACCTCTACTGTCGTCACTTTGGCTCGCAGGTGCAGGTTCCCCCCTAGCCGGTCTTGCTTCGTCGTGGAGTTCCTATATTTGATATGGATATGATTCAAATTGACCATGCCTTATATTCCTCGTATTCTGATGCTTCTAGTGTTGCTAGATTTTATTATCTTGCTGTTTGTAGCCTTGGAGCTACTGCTGTGTGTAGTCTAGGATTCCCTGCTGCGTCAGGCGTAGGACGTGTTAGAGACTCTTCACGGGGCCCCGCCTTGTCGGCCCTCTCCTTTGTCTTAGACTCCGGAGCATCTCGGTGCTTCTTTCAAGACAGCACTACTCTCACCCCGCCTCCTACGCCTATCCGCGTCGCACTAGTAGACTCCTCCGCCATAGCTGTCGCATGTAGCATCACCACTCTCCCCTGTCCGGCTGTCCCTTCCGGCTCCCTCACAGGTCTGCACATCCCCTCATTTGCTAGGAACTTAGTGGGTGTCAGTCACCTCCAGGACCGAGGCGTCACCACTATGTTCCCTGGCCGTGAGAGACACGCTGCTTGCACAGACACAGTCACCGGTCGACACTTAGCTACCTTTGAGTGTGACCATGGATTAGGTCTTTTTACCCTGCACACTGAGTCCCCACTCACTGCTGCATCTGCCAAGGTCGCCGCTTCCTGCTCCTGTCGCTCACTAGCCCACCCGACCCTTCTGTGGCACCACCGCTTAGGTCACCCTGCACTCCCGTGCCTTAGGCACATGTCCCCCTCACTCCTCCTCATTTCCTCCTACCACAGCACTGCTACAGACACTGCACATGGACGTCTGGGCCCCTGCCCCGGTCCATGGTCTCAGTCGGGAGTGCTACTTCCTAGTCATCGTTGACGACTTCTCGCGGTTCACCACAGATTTCCCGTTGGAGCGGAAGGCCAACGTGTCGACCGTTTTCCTCCCGTGGCTTCTCATTGTTCGCACCGCCCACTGATTGTCTGTAGGTCGCTTACACTCTGACCGCTGTGGCGAGTTTGCCTCTGGCTCTCTAGGACGGTTCTGTCATGCGGAGGGCATCCGCCAGACGTACACACTGCCGGACTCCCCACAGCAGAATGGGGTCGCTGAGCGACGCATAAGCCTGATCATGGAGGTGGTTCGCACCTCTATGGTCCATGCCGGTGCACCCCATTTTTTGTGGCCGTTCGTCGTGCGCTATGCTACTCACAAGCTTAACCTGTGGTCACGCTCCCAGCGACCACATGTTTTGCCGACCCTCCTATGGACCGGGTCTCCTGATGACGCGTCCGCGTTCCACGTCTAGGGCAACCTTGCTCACGTCCGCGATACTGCCGCGGACAAGCTCTCAGCCCGCACTCTTCCTTGAGTCTTCTTGGGGTTCCCCCTTGACGCCTCTGACTAGCTATTCTACCACCCCTCACACCACCGTTTTTACCATTCTCGTGACGTCACCTTCGACGAGACGCTCCCCTACTACCGGCGCTTCCCGCACCACAACGCTCCTGTGCCTCCTCCTCCTCTCTTCCTTGTCCTTGCCCCCCCTGCCGCACCCCTCCCGCCCCGCCTGGCTCAGTCTGGTGTCTCCCACACCACTCAGTTCCCCTCGGTTCCCCCTATGGGGGAGTCGGCTGACTCTGGGGGCCCAGCTGTTGGGGGTGTGCCTGCTGTCCCTGTGGCACCTCCCCCAGCCTCGGTCCCCCAGGCCCCTCAGCCGCCTGCTCCCTTGCCTCAGCAGCAGCAGCCGTCGCCGCAGCAGCAGCAGCAGGGAGCAGTGGGCTCTGGGGGTGCTGGTTCTGGGGGTGCGAGTTCTGGGGGTGCGAGTTCTGGGGGTGCTGACTCCAGGGGTGCTGGTTCTGTAGGTGGTGAGACCGAGGGTGCTAGTCTCGGGGCTGCTGTTTCGCAGCGTACGGGTGGCAGCTTGGGTGCCACTGGAGGTCCTGGAGCGGACAGACAGCAGCAGCAGCAGCATCAGCAGCAGGTGCAGCCGCCGCAGTAGGAGCTGCCGCAATCTGCCCTTCGTCTCCTTGGTCTTGCTCCAGGTTCCCCTGTC